GAAAATAAAAACCTCTTGTTTACTCGTCAACATCTCTTTCCAAAAGTACAATAGTATAGTATAGGTCAATAAAAATCAAGCAATCTTCTGTAATAGGCGAAAGCCCTCTATATCATACGATTAGTAGTGTAATCACAGCTTTAGTATACAACTTACTCAACATCACTATTACAGCATAGTAGTTCGACACATGCCGATTTGGTGCCATCGGTACGAGTTGATTGTTGTTTGGAACTTTTTAAGAATCCATTCCCAAAGGGTAACGGGAGCCTATTACTAAGACTTCGCTGTCTGTCCGTCTGTCACAAGACATTGAAATTTACTAATACTAAACAACAGAATAAAACATTTAAGTGGGGCTCCCATACAACATACATGACTTTTTTTTGCCGTTTTTATGGTACGAAATTATAATGGTACGAAACCCTACGTGCGCGAGTACGACTCTCACTTGGCTGGTTTTTTTTATTTAACTTTGGCATTTAGTAGTATTTTTATAATTTAATTAAAGAAAAAGACTGTTTTTTTTCTTTATATCTAATTATTTTAGAGAATGTTGTGTAAACATGTAATAGGCTTATATATAAGGAATTGATGCTATAGTTAAGAACACATAAAGTTTACTATTTTTGGTGTACCTAAAAAAATAAATAAATCAATAAATGATTCACGTATAAATAATAATCCCTTGATGTTCTATAAAAGTATTTGCGATAGGGGATAGGGGACAATACTGGACCAGTTTGTACAAACAAAATTTAACAAGAATTGGAGCACTCTCATTGAAATTAATAATAAATAATTTTAACATATTTTTATTCATTTAAATAATTATTTTAAGATGTGTACACGAAGCAATGTCATAATGTCCCGTTGAATATTGAATATAATTCGATAAACTGCATGGCAATACAGCTTGTAACCAATAAATCAGTCATCTGTACGTGAGTTTCTTTTCTAACAAAGCGCTCTACCGGTCCTATTTCAGATTATATATTAGATGTGTCGGAAAGTTTAAACCAGCTCGGGGCCATTCTACGCGCCATTTTAATGCTTGGTCAACGGAGATCTTTCCTGGTTGAGTTCTTTTATATTTTCAACCGTCTTCAAAAAAGGGAAGGTTCTCAATGTGACTGTATTTTTTTTATTTTGTTACCTCATAACTTACGCCTGAGTGAACCGGTTTTGATGATTCCTTTTTTATTCGAAAGCTGGTGCTTCCCATGTGGTCCCATATTAATTTAATTGGTATTGGATCTTGGGCTCCAGAGATATTTAGGGAACTCCTGAAAATCAATTATAAAGTGAATACAGAGCGAGATGTTTGAAGACGGTTTTGTTTTTCGTTAAAAAACACATGGACTTGTATAATCTGGGTACAAGCCTTACAACAGACCGGCGCCAGCCTGTGCTTTTAAGGTATTAAACAACTCTTTTACATACCAAATTGAATATTTCTATTGTAAACATACGCTACAAGGTTTATTGGTTACATGAATTGTGACAAGTTTCAAAAGTTGACACGATTATAATTTAAGTATTGGTGTCTTTGACCCAGTGTTGCCAGGTAGTTATAGTGCTTTTAGAAATACCAGTAGACGTACTGACGTAATGAATGTATATTAATATAATGGAAATTCAAACATAATGAAAAATGGAAAGACAAAAACTTTTGAAATGACAACAAAATCAGTAGACCTAGCAACTCGAATCTCAGGGTGTTAACGGTGAGTACTATGTATGTACAATCGTACTATATAGTACAGAATGTACTATATTTTCGTTCCTAATGAAGTTGTTGCACTTTTTTATATGAACTGTCAACTGTAACATATCCACTGCATAACATGGGGTTCAGAACAGAACAGTGTTCGAAAGCAACAACGTTGATCTGTTGTTTTGTTTGTCACAAACTTTAATTGTCCTAGCAACTAAAGATACTGCCTGATTTTCGAGGTTTATTTTAAAATAATATGGAAAGCGTCGATGGTTCCAATATAACTCTCAAGAAGAAGCTAATAAAAGAAAAAATCTTACAAAAATATTGAATGAGAAGTGAATGGCGCGATGCTGTCATAAGCGTAAAATGGTGAGAAAAAGAGATAGAGTACATATAAATTTAATATTATTTAATAATTAAATGTGTACTGCTTTTTCCCTAAATTTCATAAAAGTAATGTATGTTTATGACTTAGAATAAATGATAGTATATTTTCTTCAAAAAAAGGTGGCAACCCTAAGGCAACGGATGTTTCGAGGTATACGATTTTAAAAACGTGAAAGCTGTCTCCTCTACAAATATTTGTGCATGCATATTATATGTGAGGATTTTGTCAAATTAACCTTTTTTAATACATATATTGAACATTCAAACAAATAAAAACGGTAAAAAATTATAGAGAGTTATAAAGACAAGAGTTGGTGAACTGCGGAACATGACCAAACTATGTATATTTACGTATTTAACACTTATAATAACGAATATTACATATATTATAATATATATACTGATATTTCATATATCAAGCTTTCTATGTGTTCAACTGTTAATATGTGATTCTACCAGTATGCTGAACGGTGCGGAACTGTAATGGACAGTACACGAAGCAAATGTTTGTTCTGGACGACTCACTAAAGCAAACAGTACGCAAACATTTCTAAAATGTTCGCGCGCATCCTCTTTACATTTGTGCGCGCACACATGGAAGCAGTGGACTTGCATCGACGCATACACACTCATTTTTCGGGAACTCACGGCCGGTCTCTGAAACACTTATCATCTTAGTAATGAACTAATCAGCTGTCAAATGTCATTTGAGTTGCCCAAATGATGGTTAAACTCTTTGAATTGATCAGTCTGATCATTACGAGCCATTTGACAGCCTATTAGTTAATTTCTACGATGATCAGTGTTTCAGAAACCGGGCGTCAGTCTTGCTTCCGCTGCCGGGCTGAGAACATTTATTTGTACTTGCACATTGTTTTTTTTTCAATATAAAATGTTGTAAAACGACCAGGCGGTTCAGCAGATGTTAAATGATAGCTGCTGCACATGGACATTTACAACACCCGTAGGATTGCAGATGCGTTTCCACCTTTTAATAAACCGGGCCCCGATTACCACACTCACAAGGCGAAGCGCAGAAGTATAAGTCTTCCATTTCACGCCGGTTTTCTGTGAGGCCCGTGGTACTTCACTGGATGCGTCTAGACATTCGTGCAGTAGAAACTGTTACGTCGCCCTACCACAGTAAAACGTTTAGTTAAATATCCCACGATATACGAGAGACCTTTTTTATATGCAGAAAATGAAACTATTTTTATTTCTTCCCCAATTCGATAGTTTATTGACGACTCCTTGGCGCAGTTGTCAAGGTATCGGCTTCGGTGACGGGGAACGTGGGTTCGATTCCCACACGGGACAACTATTTGTGTGACCAACAGGTAGTTGTTTTGCCTCTGGGTGTGCGTGGGTATGCGTGTAATAATAATATTGTATCAATTATAAGCAATCCCGCTATAAAAGCGCCTTAAAGCTGGGCTTTTAATTGTTGCAAATATGATAATTATATCTAATAAGTACTGTAATGTTTGTTTACAATAAGTTATAACCTCAAAATCCATTTCGGTGTTCCTTTATATTTTTGATGAAGCAATTGGAATTATGATAAGAAGAAACGAAATATCTTACCGACGACGAATACGACAGCAGATTGGTTTAATAATGTTTTAACTAAAATTTATTCATCTTTAGTTCGTAGGAGCATAATTTATAGAATTATAAACAAGTACATACAGGATCTTTTTTCATCTAATTCTTACTTTAATACAAAAATTTTATACCTAGATGTACCTATGGTCTCTAGCTAATATAGTATAAAATTTATTTTTAATCATCGTAATGTTAGTGTAGATTTGAGGTTTGTATACTTTTTTTTGTGTTTTGTATTCGGACGGAATGAAAAAACGAAAGATCTTAAGTCATAGATATATTAGTACACATTTACGACATTGAACCTTTTAAGAAATCCGCTTCAAGCGATCGGGAGACATTGTTCGCTACGTCCCCGGAGCCGTTTTCTCCAAACTCAGATCGCAACGCGGTGCCTCAACACGGGACCGGCAATTCCAGTGAATTAGATTTGCGACGATACATTAATTGGTGAGATGCATGCTTTGATGCAGCAAGATTACAGCGGGTACCGTTGAAATTGCTTGTCTCGTTACCGGACCTAACAGATGCTGGACTATGGTCTATAAACCGATGTGGCGAGTGACAATTCGCTAAGTCAAACTGCGTGATACCGAAAAGGGAACACTTCCAAATCGGGTCATGCGTGATAAGCTACAGTAAGTCATCATACAAGAGTCCGAGGGAACCGGTGAGTAGAAGTTAGAATGTAGAAATATGATGTTGATCGACCAACTCACAATCGGCTCTGAGTCAGTCCCTAGTTCAAACAAAATTTTCTAAAGCAAGAACGTTTTTGCCATTTCTAAAGAGTATATAAAAATTTCTAAGGAAATCAATTAAATAAGATTTTACATTAAGTTTTTAAGCTGCACTTAACATGAAACATTTAAATTTTTATCTCAAATTTGATGAAAATGGATGAAAAGATTTTTGATGGCATGCACGATTTCAAGGAGCGATTCCGGAAGACGTGTTTCGATTGCCGCAGCGGTGAAAAGTAAATACTACGAATCGATTGCTTCTTTCTACGGCTTTCTTTTTTTAATATTTTATCATGTATCTTCCATAATTAGCCAATTCCGTTCAGCTTCAGTTTCAAGTTTACTTTTAGTTACCAACTTTTTAGGATTACAGTTTCAAATACATACAAAATTAAAAAGACCCGCGATTGCCGGGTATTTCCCAGACGTTACCGATATTCCGTATTATAGCCACAAGACGTCTTGGCCGCTCTAGACGAGTTTCTTTTATTTCCAGCAGCAGTTTGGTTTCGTCCAAGAATTGATTACAAACTCCGCGCCACTCAATAAAAGCCAATGTATATTGCTAATCGATAGGTACCGCTCGGGAACGGGCCCGTGTTCGTTCCCCGGCCGGTCTTGTTGCTATCATTCCGCAGGGCTGTTGTCTTGTAGATCCGACTTGACCTGTCAAAGTCGAGCTCATATACCGGCGGGTAGTAAGACGATAAAGCACCGACGGAGCGGTACGTACCGGCGCGATGTATCTGTACCACAATGAGCATTCGCTTTGTGATGCCGCGCTCGTCGATGCGGGCCGTGATCTGTTTGTTCGTAGAGAATTAGGCACGATTAGAGCCGACAGGGTTTTTTTTTTTAAATCGAATCCGATTGGTCCAACCAACGATTGCCTTGATTAATGACGCCGGTGTAAAATTTAATTTATAAGTTATTACGTCGAATTGTACCCATGGTTAAATAAATCTATTTTACGGATTTTATCCGGATTGTATCTTTCTATTTTGCTTTTAAATTCAGGTACCGTCAGGGGACATCGTGACCTAGGACGCTGTTAATTGTTAGATACACATAACGACAACCTAGCATTCACCATTTAAATCGATTTTGGAACACGGTTGAGAAAAGAACCGAAACTTAACGTTGATTACTTATTCTGTGTTGCGCTAAGTTATTGTCGCCCTTTTCGACCTGGCCCTGCAAAAGGAGATGGTGTTGATGCACCAATGAAAAAATTTATAATCATAGTTTAGAATGCAGTCTTGGGATAGAGACTTGAATACGAGAAATACACTTGTTTGGGGGCAAAGGAAATTTTGAAATGGACACAAGAGCTAAAATGTAAACAAATAAATGCGTAACTAGTGAAGCCTTTGTAAAGTCCTGTCTTTTAATTGACCCCGTGAGGGGAAGAATGCCTACATCGAGTGGCACAAGTGATTTTTGCACATATTTCTTCGGACTCAATGAAAACTCTAGAGCGGTCGTTGTACGTTCTATAATCTTTGTTCGAGCGTCTTTGAATTGCAAAGGCGGCATCGCTGATTTTGTGCCACAGTGTACAATATATATCGTTGTACACGCACCACAATTAAATTATCATAGCGAAGTCACTGCACGCGACCGTTGACTTATTGAGACGGGAACGATCCCGGGGGGCGCAACGGTGAAGCACGATCTCGTTATTTTCAAAAATCTGAACTAACTTATTGACATTTATTCATGAGACCGTCCGTATAATAAGGACGGTTGGGCTTGGTGCTTATTCAATGTCGATTATTTTCTAGACCGTTTACACGGAAATAAACATAACGACGAATGGAACATAATATAATTATAAAATATTTTTCTTTAATTGCAATAACTTAAGGACAGGAAGAGTTATGTTTCTTGCATCGCGCGTTTCCTATGATGCATAAATTAAAATAATTTATACATATGCATGAAGTCGTATATTTATTACCAACACTTTTCAAATAGACTACAAAATTACCCCAAATTCTTAGAAAGAGCTTCATAATGTTTGGACAAATTCATCAAATCTTTAAGTAACATTTTTAAGACAACTCGGAAGCATATAGATTTATTTGTGTGCAAGAAAAAAGTGGTAATCAATAATATTTGTAATAGCAACTTTGTCATATATATTGTTAAAATGTCGAATTTGCTACATTGGGATAGAAAAAGTACCTATAGTGTAGATCCGGAAAAATTAATAAGATGTGTTAAAATATATAATCTAATCCAGAGGATAATTTGAATTACAAAGTAAGAATGGTATTCTCAAATAATGTGTCAAATACCTTGAATGTTTGTTTGTTTTGACAATTTTAGAGTTGTGCCCTTTTGCTGCTGGCTTCCGCGCTGGGTGGCTGACGTCAATTACGAGAGTTATTGCAAGGACAGATCGTGATCCGCGGCTATGTCCGAATGTATGTAAGGTGCACGGCCGCTCTTAGGATCGCGGCGCATGCCAAGTTTGCCGGTCCTCGCCACAGAAATCGAGGCCCCGTTTTTGTGTATGCTCTATGGATGGTGAGGTCAAAATCGCCTGCAGATTGCGTTCTAGTCGACGGATTCGTTTGCGAGCGCCGTGTTTCGGTATTGCTCGAGGTGATCCCGTCTACACCACGTGGGGGACAGTTGAAGTTCAAAATGAGTCGGAGGTCGCATGAAGGTCACCGATGGCAGCTTATTGAGAGGTTAGAAAACAGAAAAAAAATCAAGCAGTTGGCCTGCTGCTGCATTATTACACTTTATTTTAGGTACAAGCTTAAATATTACAATTTTAACTTCCTATAAAAAATAGTTAATATCATCTTGTATAGATTATCTGTGGTAGGCCCACGGAACAGCTTCTACTGTTTAACGAATTGTCCGGGAGAGTACCACAGCCATTACGGTAGATGCACCGTAATCTGGTATTTATCTATCTTTCAATTTATAACGTATAACCGTGTCATAAATCACCGCATTAACATTGTACATTACGTAAATAAAAATATTTTATCATGTACTGTGTAAGACTAATCTTAATGAACTTTATTTTTTTTAATTTATATTTTTAATAGCAACACTACTCCTGGTTGCCGAGAATTCTAGGCGAATCTCACTAATATCTAAAAGTTTACGTCCACGCAATCTATTCTCTTCCTTATTTAAATGTTGGAAGGAGTGAAATTTGTAAATGTGATGGATGAATGACGTAAAATATACTACGTGGTCTTTTATTCTAGTTGCGACGTATTACAAATACGGAGCAAGCATCTAAGAATTTAATATATTCTTTTGGAATTTTTATAAAAGCTAATGTAGATTCTACAGAGTTGTTTGCAATTTCTAAGGCATGCTTGCTCCAAGCATGCTTGTTTGCAAGTCTATTAATGCAATAGAAATGTTGTATAGAAAAATTGAGTAAGAAAGTCGCCATTTTTCAAATTCTTCTAACATCGATTCATATTCATAAGTAGAAAAATACATTTATATATATATATAAAATACATATATATATATATATATATATATATATATATATATATATATATAACATATAAATATAAATGTAAGCTCTAAAGAACCCAGAAGGTATTCCAATTAACATTTCATTTTATGGGCTACCGGTCACGCAGTTCGCTTATAAAGCAATTTCGAACTTTGTATTTTCTTGGCGGCTTCCCGAGAAATTCCGTGACAGCTTTGTAGTATTTACCAATAGTTCCAAACGCGAAAGGGCGGTAATTATTACTTGTTTCACTATCCGTTTAGCATCGCCCACTTGGTAGTGACGTTTCAATAGGAGCGGCCCGTGAGCTGGTAGGAGTGCTGTTTGCGCGGGAAAGTCAAAGGTCGCATTCGGTGCCGCCCATCGAGCAACGCGCGTTTCCCGCGTCGCCAAGCGTAATGGCGGCCTTGTATTGGCGCGTCGCAAAAGACGCCGAGCTGTAATTTAGTTCTGCCGGGTATTAGTTCAGAAATGTTTTTCGATGTTTTTGAGTAATTGTTGCAGCGGTATAACGGCGGCCGTTGTTAAAGTTTTTGCGCTCGAGTTGTTTTTTTTTAAATATTACTTTACAATGTTGAGGCATTAAATAATTTTAGTCAACGTATTGACATTTTATTAGTACCGTTTTAATAACACTCGACTTTTAATGACACCTGCTGATGGGCTTTCTTCGCGGTTAATATTAATTGTTGTGAAATAATTTTTTAACTTTGGTGTCTAAAATGAACATTTTTTTAAAAGTTTTATCGAACGTTCGTGACTTTAAAACTTCATTAAACTCACGGGGCCAGCGTAAATGCTAGTTGCGTTGGAAGTTTTCAATCATGGTGTCATCTTCTTGGCACTAGATAATTTCAACTGGGTAGGGTAGGATTAATTCCGCCGTGTGAACATTTTTTATCGTGGATCTCAAATATGACTACGTTCTTTTTATAAAGTGTGTGTATTAAGTTCAGAAAGGTTGGTATCGATCATCATTGCAGAATAAATTTAAAATAGCCAGAATCGAAAAACTTAAAATTCAACTTATTTTGCACCTAATCATTAAAACCGAATATACAATAAAAATATATTTATAGCTTTTACTCAAAGCTTCTCGCTGATAGGCATTTAAACTTCTAGCTTTCTATAACATCAGTACGGATCGAAGAAAAAGAGACAATTGACAAGGGAATTAATAATTTATTTTTACTAAATTTTGCAACACCTTACGGGTTGCAGATACATTAAAAACCGGCCAAAAATACTATATAATGTCTGTTGTATGGGAGCACCACTTAAATTTTTTTTATTCGTATTTTTAGTATTTTTTGTTAACAAAAATACATCATCTATGAAAATTTCAACTGTTTAACTATTACGGTTCATGGGACTGTATCTCATGGTGACGGACAGACATTGGAGTCTTAGAAATAGGGTCCCGTTTTACCCTTTGGGTACGGAACCCTAAATATCGCGCTCCTGTTACCTCACTCGCCAAACGAAACGCGAAAGCATAATATTATGTACTTGCTTGACCATTCGTGCCAAAGCAGAAGCAACTGAGTGACCCACCACAGATAAAATATTATTTGATGATGTTATATTTCTTGCGAAACTAGTCGACTGCTTCAGTAGCTTCACTCACGCGAGGTAAAAATGATTGCAATAACATCTACAGATTTATATTGTATGTATTTTTTTATTTATACTGTAGAGATCGGGTTCTTCCTCATTTTGCCTTTATTGAACATATGCAAAGCTTTTTGCGATGTGATAATCAACTCAAACAGTGGTTGCATGTTTAATTTTTAGAACTATTCTCTGTACATAAGATGATACTTTAAATATAGACAAATTGTAGAAAAGTTTGTTCGCTGCTGCTAGAATTCAATCTGTGCATTTATTCAAGCGACATCTCTCCCTTTAAAATTCATTGAAAAAATGTCATTTAACCAATTAGCTGCTTAGTAACCACGAAGGCATGTACGAATCCTTGCGAAAAAAATTTAGACCACTTATCTACACATTTTAAATCATTTCAGCGTTCCATTGTTTTTTTCGAACTATTGTTGTATTTATATGCTTTGGCTGCTTGTCTAAGTTTAGTGAGTTCAAAACTCGGCGCGAATAGATATGATGACGTGGTTGGTTGTAAGATAAAATATCTGTTAATGATTAAAGTAATTGATGTATGAGGGGTTCGGGATGGATTATCCAAAGTCACTGATTCACAATTTATCACGTTTATTGTACTTTAACCACTTTTAATTTAATATTTTATACAGAGCACATACTCCAGTATGTGCTCTGTATCTCTGTATCCAGTACAGTCCAGGCCTAAGCGGAAGAGAGAGAGCGAACGAAAAGAAAATATTTACTATGAATGAGACGAATGAATAATAAACAATATGATGAATAAACTTGTACAGCTCTATACATAAATTTAACGAAAGAAAAATATCTAAAGATACGTGATTTTTTTTTTATGCGAAAAGTTGTCAAACGAGCAGACGGTTCACCTGATGTTAAGTGAATACCGCCGCCCATGGACATCTGCCACACCAGAGGGTTACAGATGCGTTGACAACCTTTTGAAAATTGGGCTCCGGCCACCTCACTCACCAGACGAAATGCGAAAGTATTATACTTCCACTTTACGTTGGTCTTCTGTGAGGTCGTGGTACTTACCCGGACGGGCCTGCCCATTCGTGCAACAGCCGAGCCTGCTGCGTGGCCCTAACACCGTAATTCAATTCTGATAATGAATTCTGGTAATGATACATTACGCTTGTGCAGCAAATGTAATAATATGTATAACAAATAACAAAATATAATAATATGTATAACATAATAATAATTTCATAAAACTCTCGACAGAGTTGCGCCCTTTGGGGGCGTATAGCCTATTTCATTTGATTATAACGTGTTCCGTAAAGTAACGAATTAAACAAAAGACCAAAGAACGTCAGTGTCAGCTGCCATAGTGAAATTTTAGACCTCGCCTATTAACGTTTTCGACGGGAGTTCGATCTTTCCTCTTCCTACCAACGCACCGTTCGAAACACAAAGGTCCGGAGTTGTATCATTTCAACTGGCGTATCGCGTTGCTTCGGGCTTTGGGCTGTCGGCGTTATCTTAAACTTTATTGTTATAACAGTTGGAAGGCGCGGTGTCCCAACAGCCCCTGAATCTTTATTGTGCTCCGAGCTCTGTTCGCTTTGTTTAAGTTGTGCTATCGTGTGCCGCTCTATTACATCCGTGCCGGGGAAAGGTCGACTGGCCAAGTTGCACCGCACAAACAAATCAACGTGACTATGTGGATTGGTGAATTGATCACGGATAAATAAACGCTTACCCCCGTGGTTTAAGGTCTATTTAAGATATGTAGACCGACCTTTATACATTGTAAACATGTCTTTAATACATTTGACTTTAATACATTTTTAAACAGGTCTGTATTTGATAAACAATGGTTTAAAAAAAGTCCCACTGAGTTTCTTTCGCCGGTTCTTCTCCGGTCAGTTGCTTTTCTTTCCGAACCTGTGATAGCGTTTTGACAATCAATAAGAAAGTGTAATGCTTCTATATTGAATAAAGGTATTTAATTTGATTTGATTTATTGGGCCTAGGTTAAACCCTTCTTTAACCTAGGCCCAATAGTGGCCTAATTTGTGGTAGGGTCACACAGCAACATCTGTCTTATATAAGATGATGTAAAGCGTAAAATGGAAATATTATACTTTTGCGTTTGATCTGGTGGGTGAGGTAATGACCATCTTTACCTCGCCTCACACCTTCCATGGTTAGTAACGCATCTGCACTCCCACAGTTGATGAAGATGGCCTGGGCGGCAATCACTTGCAACGGGTGAACTTAAAATAATGTTTTAATCTAAACTACACTAAATAGTGCACGTACAGCTATGTAGGCTGAACGAATTCACAATACGTAAATGCCGTTGGGAATATCCGGTTAAAATAAAAGCTATAAATTCAATTCTACCCCATTGCATACAAACAATAAACAAATATTACCCCTTTATAATTTCAGTAATATAGAAGTTACATAAAAAATAAATGCAGTGTTTTTTTTCCCTATATTGTAATATAATGGTGACTGGATTCCTTTGAGTTATCTTTATGAAACTAATGTAGAAAAATAACATTCCTTTCGCCACGATGTCTCTCCAGCTGCATGCCTACCAAGTTGTTGTTGAAGTTATAATAAAAGATGTGTGATATTTATATTCTATAAACCGATAACAATTAAAAAAAATGGAATATCAATCAGGTCAACGGTTAAAACGTTTGCATATTGCGGTCCGTTTAAACTAATATTGTTTATGCTAACTTCCGTTAGATAACTCGCAAACAACTAAATCCAATAGACCATTAAATTTATGAATAATAAGACAACAGCAATAGTTCATTAAAAGGTCATCTGATTATGCAAACAAATAGTACTGTTCCACTGGTATTTTAATGATAACAAGAAGAAGGTTCTTAACGTTTCAAACAACACTGATCGGACAAGCCGTATTCAAAGTGTATGTAATAAAATCATGTCTGTACTTATGTACGCTCATAAGAAGTTATACTTCGTAAGCATAACAAAAGAAAGATAACTAAAAATTTTATCTCCTGTGCCAGTACTCGATCATAACTGATTAATGAAAGAAGTTGGAATTATAGGTAAATATCAAAAAGTTGTTATTGGTTGCCATGGTAATACCGTGAAGTTCGTCGAAGTTGGTCGCTTTGCAAACAACTTCATCGTGTCTCTTTTCTGCTGCCTATGTCCACGCGCATGGTAAAAGCTTTACCCTCATAATTTTTTCCAAACGCGCCAAAAGAAGTAAGTACCCATATCTTCAAAATGTAACGTTTATTACAATGTAAAACTTATCTGGTATCGTGTTGTTTATGTCATGTTGCAATTATTTGAATGAAGAATGAACGGGGAATTTTTGACTCGTTGTATCTCCAATTACTTTGAAGTTAGCATTCAATCTCAGATAAACGCTTAGTGTTGCCGTTGATTGCACTCCCGCCCCCAATTCCGGAGCCCACAATTTGAGACTATAAAATAGAAGGTCTTACCCATCAGATTGTTACCAACGTTACATAGTTACGACAGAATTTAAACCGAGCAGAAAAGGGGCAGCAGAAGGTAACAACTGGTTTTTTGTAGACTTAAGTCAAATTTCGTAAACATACCAGGTGGTTATGTAAAGAAAATACCTCTAAACAATTTGTCATTTAACAATAATGGAAAAAAAATGGAAGTTTGAAGTAGTTTATTTTATTATAGAAAGTAAGTTAAATGTTTGATTGATATGAAGATTGTGCAGAATGATGCAGTAAAAATACATACAAATGTACCTTTTTCCAATATTCTGACAGTACTAGCAGGCAAGGTTTTATATGTAATTTCCTCATTTCTTAGATTTGTTCAAATT